CATCGACCACATGAATATTGATAGCCCAATGTTGGAAAGAGGAGGGGAAATACCCACGAAAAAGATTGGCAAATGAAGGTAATAGAATATGCAGAAATGGCAAAGTTAACAGGAAGACTCAGAAAACAGGACAATAACCACTTTAAAAATGAATGGGAAATATATATTGCATATATATATATATATCTAAGCATTGTATACAGGTTGATACATCAGCAAGATTCTAAAAAACATTTGCAGTATTTTAACGAAAGATAGATACAAATAGATGGAGAATTGAATTTGGACATGCATGAATTAATAATGGAAGTAATGGAACCATGGAGGGAAGTCACAGATTTGAAAACCCCCACATTTTGATGTTGTTTTGATTGTATAAACAGTATGGAAATTGCTGCAGTTGTAGTTAAACTTTTCCTTTTTCAATGTTTATTTTTATATGATGTTTGTTATAAACAAAATTAATAAAAATATTTAAAAAAACAAAAACAAACCAGTAACCATCCACATTAAAAAAAAGTCTCAGCACCAAAGTGACCATTGATGACAGTGACCTTCTGCTGTGACCCATCTCTCTCTTGGGGGCTACTAATGGCTTCAGTTGCCCCCGGCCAGAATTGGTTGGTTGGCACCTGTCTGTCTTGGGCGACAATGGAGGACTGTGCATTCAGGGGTGAAGTCAAACTGTTGGAAGCTTACAGCGCCTGCTGGGCTGTAGAGACCGAGGTGGGAGAGACATATTTTGTTGCAGCTGGGGCAGAGGAAGACGTCTGGTTGTGCTACTACACATGCACCATGGCATTTATTCTCTCTGCACTCCTCCCAGTGGTCATTTCTCCTTTGGTGAACCAGGCGCTGCGGCGGTCCAGATCCAGGATCCACGTCTTGCAATGTACTGTCCATGGTCCTGACGGATTGCCTTTGTCTCTATATAAGCCACAGAGTGGGGAACATTTGGCCCACGGGGTGGTGCTGAACTACAGCTCCCATCAGCCCCAGCAAGCATGGCCAACGGGCAGGGGTGCTGGGAACCGTAGCATCCAGAGGGGTCAAAGATTCCTGGTGCCCGGCTCTTAACACGATCGCCGCTCACGGTGCAAATTTTGTAAATTGCTGGGTGGAAATAAATGAAGACACGCCTAATCCCATTTCATCCTTTAGGTATCTGCATGGCGCCACCTCTTCCTCTTTCGGCAAGAGAGAGACAACAAGTGGGGGATGGAGAAAGCAGTGGATGTTGCTGCTTCCAGTGGGAGAGAGTTCCACAGTTTAACTATGCTTTCCATGAGGAAGGATTTTCGTTTATCTGTCCTTCCAACACTCAGCTTCGCTGGAGCTCCACAAGTTTTAGTTTTATGGAAGTTGGAGAAAAACCTCTTTGTGTCCACTTGTGCCCAGGGCCTTGCAGAGCCAGGCAGAGGCCCGGGCCAGGTAGATAATGTGGCCTCCCCCCTTTTTTTTAACCCTGGGGATAACTGAAATCTTATAAATAAGTATATAAATAGTTTTCACAAAAGTTACGCTGACAAATAATTTTATTTCAAGGCTTGAACCGTATCTGCATATAAAGACAAAATGGAAAATATAGATATACAATTGTTTAGTCATTTAGTTGTGTCCGACTCTTCGTGACCCCATGGACCAGGCACTCCTGTCTTCCACTGCCTCCCGCAGTTTGGTCCAACTCATGTTCGTAGCTTCGAGAACACTGTCCAACCCTCTCGTCCTCTGTCGTCCCCTTCTCCTTGTGCCCTCCATCTTTCCCAACATCAGGGTCTTTTCCAGGGAGTCTTCTCTTCTCCTGAGGTGGCCAAAGTCTTGGAGCCTCAGCTTCATGATCTGTCCTTCCAGTGAGCACTCAGGGCTGATTTCCTTCAGAATGGAGAGGTTTGATCTTCTTGCAGTCCATGGGACTCTCAAGAGTCTCCTCCAGCACCAGAATTCAAAAGCATCCATTCTTCGGCGATCAGCCTTCTTGATGGTCCAGCTCTCACTTCCATACATCAGGACTGGATAGATATACAATAGTGCCTTTTTAAAAACACATAGGGAAAAGGATTGTTTTAAGTATTTACATTTAAAAATGCTTTCCTAGCGATTGTGAATACAGTGGTACCTCGGGTTACATACGCTTCAGGTTACAGACTCCGCTAACCCAGAAATAGTGCTTCAGGTTAAGAACTTTGCTTCAGGATAAGAACAGAAATTGTGCTCCGGTGGCGCATGCAGCAGCGGGAGGCCCCATTAGGTAAAGTGGTGCTTCAGGTTAAGAACAGTTTCAGGTTAAGAACGGACCTCCAGAACTAATTAAGTACTTAACCCGAGGTACCACTGTATGCTGACCGAGGCCCCTTTGGAATCAGAGGCCCGGGCCAAGTGGCCCATAGGGGGCCCCCCTCTGTCAGGGCCTGCAAGTTGCGCCATGCCAGGAATAATGTATAAACTTCTGCCATGTCACCTCTTATTTCTCAAATTCTGCATCCTTTTCTCATAGCAGAGTCGTTCCATCTCCTTGGTAATCTTAGTTTTAACAGTTGTTGGCACCTGTTTGACTTGGGAGGCAATGGAGTGTGCCTCTGGGGGTGAAGCCAAACTGCTGTGCCAGCAGAACCAAAGTGACCTCTCCAGGGCGCAAGCCTGGGCAGTGTGTCTGGAGGTCCTGGGCTGCCAAAACGACAAGACCCCCCTTCTTGACCTCACTGATGTGGTCCAAAGGAAAGCAGAGCAAGACATTTGGCACCAGTTTGGCTGCAGGAGTTACCGGAAGGAGATGTACAAGGCGCCATCCAAGCGTCTTAGGGACTCCACTCTGGATTTGCGTAGTTTCCTCCTGAGCCTTTTCTTCTCCTGAAGATATCCCGCAAGGTGGTGGAGGTTCAGGATCAGAGTTTTCCTACTCCTAGATGGGCTCCAGGTTGATGAGCCCCACCTGCCCCTCACGCATGTGCAGAAACCGACTTCTTGATTAGTTTCTTGAGTGGATACCTGAAGGAGCGTCTCCACCCCCATCATTCTGCCCAGACACTGAGGTCCAGCGCCGAGGGCCTTCTGGCGGTTCCCTCCCTGCGAGAAGTGAAGCTACAGGGAACCAGGCAGAGGGCCTTCTCGGTGGTGGCACCCACCCTGTGGAACGCCCTCCCATCAGATGTCAAGGAAATAAACAACTACCAGACTTTTAAAAGACATCTGAAGGCAGCCCTGTTCAGGGAAGCTTTTAATGTTTGATGCATTAAAGGTAAAGGTAAAGGTACCCCTGACCACTAGGTCCAGTCATGGCCGACTCTGGGGTTGCGGCGCTCACCTTGCTTTATTGGCCGAGGGAGCCGGCGTACAGCTTCCGGGTCATGTGGCCAGCAGGACTAAGCTGCTTCTGGCGAACCAGAGCAGTGCACGTAAACGTCGTTTACCTTCCCGCCGGAGTGGTACCTATTTATCTACTTGTACTTTGACGTGCTTTCGAACTGCTAGGTTGGCAGGAGCAGGGACCGAGCAACGGGAGCTCACCCTGTCATGGGGATTCGAACCGCCGACCTTCTGATCGGCAAGTCCTAGGCTCTGTGGTTTAACCCACAGCGCCACCTGTGTCCCTTGTTTGATGCATTACTGTATTTTAATATTTTGTTGGAAGCCACCCAGAGTGGCTGGGGAAGCCCAGCCAGATGGGCGGGGTATAAATAAATAAATTATTATTATTATTATTATTATTATTATTATTATTATTATTAATCATTGGACTCACTCTTGGTCTCATTTGTTCATCTGCCGAGCCTGTCTTCACAAGCAGGGGAAGTCCCAGACTCACCTCATTTAGCCGGCCAGTCAAAGCCATTTTCTGGGATTGTAGCCGCTGTCGCCTGCTAACGGCTTCTAGGAGCCACAAGTGAGATCTGAGTGCAGGATGGGGGACCAAAGGTCAACAAACAACCACAGAAGGAGCATGATGGTTCCCCCCCCCCCCGAGATACTAACCCTCCCCAACAATCCATACACAGTAGCTCAGTAGTATTATCACTTAAGAACAAGAGAGTCTTGGCAGCTGGATCAGGCCAAGGGGAAACCCAGCCAGATGGGTGGGGTATAAATAATAAATTATTATTATTATTATTTAGTCCAGCAGCCCATTCTCACAGTGGCCAACCAGGTGGCTATGGCAAGGCCTCAAGCAAGACCTCAAGACCTGTATTGCTGGCATCGGCCAGCTGTGGGTCCCTAGATTTTTCAGGACTACAACACCCATAATCCCTGACCATTTGCCATGCTGATGGGAGGTGGAGTCCAAAGACACGTGGAGAGCCACAGGTTCCCTCCGCACACACCCCTTTGCTTTATGACCTATAGGGAGCACCACGTCAAGGAATCTTTTTTGAGGCCACCTTTTGGTGGCAGAAGTGGGATTTGAACTCAGGGCTTCCCACCGCACACCCCTAACCACTCCACCCTGTTGGCTCTTAGGCGGGGGACAGGAGCTAAGTGGCAGAACCTATGCTTTGAATGCAGAAGCCTCCAGCTTCCTGTGCTTAGTGTCTCCCAGTCAGAAGGCTCAGGAAGCAGGCGATGGAGGGCAGCGGGTGCCTCAGATGCTGGAGAGAGGGACAGAAGAAGCTTCCATTGACTGCACCAGACTATTTGCCCATCTGCGTGGTATTGTCTGCACCAACCGGCAGCAGCTGTCCAGGATTTCAGTCGGGGAGTCCCTCGCAGCCCTACCTGGAGACACCAGAATTGACTCTGGGACCCTTCTCTGCAGCCCTCCTCCCGCAGCTGCTGCCAGCCTGAGCAGGCAACACTGGCCCCGGTGGGCAAATAACCAGAGCCGCCACAAGGCAGCACCCGGTGAGGTCTGGAAGCACCGGACTCCCAGGGAAGCTCACCAGCGATGCCTGAGCGAGCAGCATCGCAGAGAAGCCGGAGCCCATCAGAAGCCTCACTTTTAGGGCTGCCGGTGATGCCCCTGTGCCATTGTTCCAGCTTCCTGGAGTGTGACAAAACACTTTCCGGGAAGGTTTCTCCGAGGGGCGCACCGCTGCTAAGCCAATGGATCAGTCAGGTGGCTCCTTCAGAGGGCTGGACTCACCGCATGTTAATGGGCTGGCAAGGTTTGTGCGTGTGTGTGTGTGTGTGTGTGCCTGCGTGTACATATAGAGGGGGCCACTCCGGCAGAGAACACAGTGCAAGGCTCGAACATCAGACGGAACAGTGCAACCCAGGCATCACACCCGGGCAGGTAGGCGTCCGCTAGCTGTGATTTGCCAGCCTCTCCTCTTTGTCTTGGCGGGGCTTGTGAGTTCCTGGCTTTGCATGCTCTCGAAACCAGCCCAGAGCTTTGGAACTGGCAGTTTTGGGGTGGGAAGGACCTGGGGGGGGTCGGAACTGGGGAGGGAGGGGGGCTTTATGGTTCTCCAGTGGCGAACTTCCTTCTCCTCCTTAACCTCTCCTTCAAGGAGATCAGCCGCTTAAACATTTGTTTTTGGTCCGCCAGCAGAGTCGAAAGCACGCCTTCTCTTTGCACAGGGATTGTTTGGAACCGGGTTCGTTGAAGGAGGATTTGTCTTTTGATAAACCTAGCTACTTTTTGTTCCCTTTTAAAGAAAAAACGCTTTTGGGTGGTGGAGGACACAGAAAAATTCACCCAATTTGAGAGAGAAGGGTGGGTGGAAATTCCTCTGTGTATTTTAAGGTATTAGCCGGAACAAGGTGGCATTTTGCAAATAATGTATATATTGCTTTTTTTAAAAAAAAAGATAGAAAGAAAATATTTGTCGCAATGTTTGCTTTTCCCCCTTTTCCTTCCTGTGGGTATTTCTCTGCACCCAGCTCTGAAAGGTTTGTTTTAGAACTATTTCGTTAACAGGAGACCTGTCCCTTGGGATCAAAGAGCACCCCATGCTCTCATTTTTTCTGCTCCCCCCGCACCTATTGTCTTGCAAAGGGAATAATCCCTTCTAAGATAACTGCGCATTTCCTACGGAAATCTCTCCAACTTAGAATCCAAGTTCCTTAGGCTTCAGTTCTATGCGCGCTTACCTGGGAGCAAGCTGCGGTGAAGGGCGCAGGACTTACTTCTGAGTAGCCATACATAGGATTCCACGCTCGGTCTTCCAGAACCCCCACAGTAGGTATTTTAAAACTCCATTTCTGAACAAAAAGAAAAAGGATTTTTTTTAAAAAAAAACCTGAAAAACTTTGGAACTTTATCTTAAAGCTTTATTCCCAAAAGCGACTGTTTGAAGGACAATGCTTTTTGGGCCGCACACAGAGAGATAAATGTTCTAAGCTGAGTCCTGAGGACAAATTTGAACCCCCAGAACAAACTTCTTCCCCTTCTGCTCGGCAGCCTCTCCGGGTTCGCATTTCTGCGGCTGAATGTTTGGAGTCTTTGTCTGCCGCTTTCTCTGCACCGTATAATTCAGCCGATTATAGTCAATTTTACGATAGGATGCACATTGCGCCACTTGCGCCTCTGCAGGCATCCGATAGACCAGGGAGATCTGTAGCAAATGCAGCTCCACTGTGAGGGGTTTTTTTGGGGGGGGGGCAGTTCTTGCAAAGAATAGGCAGGTAGGTCTATGGACAGAATGTGGTGCGCCTGCCACGTTGACAAAGGAGCGCGCCGTCTCCTATCTCAGAACTGCATTAAAATACTATCAAAGTACCAGATGCCCTCATGATGAAATGCAGCGCGCCCATGATTACAGTTTGCTCTGGGGTTTTTTTTTTTTTAGAAAGAGGTTAATGTGCTTTCCCATTACGAGTATCTCAGTTAAATCGGCGGCACCTGCTTCCCACTAGATGTGTTGACATTTGGCGCCGGTTCTCTGACATGCAGGAAAGCTAATTGCTAATTCTGTAAGAGAGAGGAGGGGGGTGAAACGCAAGGAGGGTTTAACTGTATCCTCTAAGAAGACTGCTGGTCAGCGGTTCCCTGTTCCCAGTTCCCTGTTCTCCTTCGTGTCCGTTGTTGTTTAGTCGTGTCCGACTCTTCGTGACCCCCTGGACCAGAGCACGCCAGGCACTCCTGTCTTCCACTGCCTCCCGCAGTTGGGTCAAAGCTTCAAGAACACTATCCAACCATCTCGTCCTCTGTCGTCCCCTTCTCCTTGTGCCCTCCATCTTTCCCAACATCAGGGTCTTTACCAGGCAGTCTTCTCTTCTCCTGAGGTGGCCAAAGTCTTGGAGCCTCAGCTTCAGGATCTGTCCTTCCAGTGAGCACTCAGGGCTGATTTCCTTCAGAATGGATGCGTTTGATCTTCTTGCAGTCCATGGGACTCTCAAGAGTCTCCTCCAGCACCAGAATTCAAAAGCATCAATTCTTCGGCGACCAGCCTTCTTTATGGTCCAGCTCTCACTTCCATACATCACTACTGGGAAAACCATAGCTTTAACTATACGGACCTTTGTTGGCAAGGTGATGTCTCTGCTTTTTAAGATGCTGTCTAGGTTTGTCATTGCTTTTCTCCCAAGACCTTCGTTTCCACCACATGCCTTATCTGCTAGTTAACCTGGTGTTGACATGGAAAGATTCCAGCAGAAAACAAAGTCTTTGCAATGTTTTGGATCATAAAAAAAAGAAAAGAAAGGAAGACAAACACACATATATGCATTTGATGGGCAATTTTAAGTTTCGGGAATCCTTCGCTAAAGATGCAGTTATACTGGGAATCAATTCCCATTGGAAGCACAGAGACTTGCCTCCCAAGCACACCGGTCTCTGAGCTGCCTACCGCCTCTCTCCCATCGCTAAAATCACACAAACCAGCTACAGCTGGGCAAGAGATGCCCACATCCTTAACTCTTCCATCAGAGAAGGTGTGTTTGCTCAGACCACAGAGGCAGCAACACTTCTCAATCCCAGTTCCTGGAAACCGCAGGAGGGGAGAATTGCTCGGATCCTGTTTGCGGGTTTCCCAATAGAGGCATTTGGTTGGAAGGTGCTGATCCAGCATCTCCTTGAGTTATCAGGGAAGCCCACAAACAGGAATGGAGTGTAATGGGACTCTCCCACTTGTGGTCTCCAGCAGCAGGTGTTTGTTGTTGTTTAGTCATTTAGTCGTGTCCGCCTCTTCGTGACCCCCTGGACCAGAGCACGCCAGGCACTCCTGTCTTCCACTGCCTCCCACAGTTTGGTCAAACTCATGCTGGTAACCTCGAAAACACTATCTAGCCATCTCGTCCTCTGTCGCCCCCTTCTCCTTGTGCCCTCCATCTTTCCCAGCATCAGTGTCTTCTCCAGGGAGTCTTCTCTTCTCATGAGGTGGCCAAAGTACTGGAGCCTCAGCTTCAGGACCAGTCCTTCCAGTGAGCACTCAGGGCTGATTTCCTTCAGAATGGAGAGGTTTGATCTTCTTGCAGTCCATGGGACTCTCAAGAGTCTCCTCCAGCACCAGAATTCAAAAGCATCCATTCTTTGGCGATCAGCCTTCTTTATGGTCCAGCTCTCACTTCCATACATCGCTACTGGCAGGTGTTTAGAGGTAGACTATTCCTGACCCTGGGGACTCCATAAATGCATTACAACCGATAGTCATTGTTCGCCTTATCTCCCAGTGAAGTTGCTGATGAGTACCTTGTGGTCTCCCATGCTGTAGCTTAGCTGAAGGAGTCCTTCCATTTGTCTCTTCCAGCCTTCAGCTTTTCTGGATGGTCCCTGCCTTTTAGTGTTCTGGTGTGGAGGGGGAGAAAAGCTTCTTTCCATCCACAATGTGCATAATTTCCTGTGCCTCTGTTGCATCTTCTCTCACTCATATTTCTGCCAAATGAAAATGCTCCAAACCGTTGCCTTCTCTTTTGGAAGTTGCTCTGGTCCCTGGATCATTCTAGTTGATGCTTCTATGCTCTTAGGGACACAGGAAGCTGCCTTATGGCCTCAGGCCTGTGGGCCAATGACCTCAGCATCGTCTACACCAGGGGTAGGTAACCTAAGGCCCAGGGGCCGGATGTGGCCCAATCACCTTCTCAATCCGGCCTGTGGACGGTCTGCGAATCGTGTTTTTACATGAGTGTTGTTGTTGTTGTTTAGTCGTTTAGTTGTGTCCGACTCTTCGTGACCCCCTGGACCAGACCATGCTAGGCCCTCCTGTCTTCCACTGCCTCCCGCAGTTTGGTCAGACTCATGCTGGTAGCTTCGAGAACACTGTCCAACCCTCTCGTCCTCTGTCGTCCCCTTCTCCTTGTGCCCTCCATCTTTCCCAACATCAGTGTCTTTTCCAGGGAGTCTTCTCTTCTCATGAGGTGGCCAAAGTATTGGAGCCTCAGCTTCAGGATCTGTCCTTCCAGTGAGCACTCAGGGCTGATTTCCTTCAGAAGGGATAGGTTTGATCTTCTTGCAGTCCATGGGACTCTCAAGAGTCTCCTCCAGCACCATAATGCAAAAGCATCCATTCTTTGGCGACCAGCCTTCTTTATGGTCCAGCTCTCACTTCCATACATCACTACTGGGAAAACCATAGCTTTTACTATATGGACCTTTGTTGGCAAGGTGATGTCTCTACTTTTTACATGAGTAGAATGTGTGCTTTTATTTAAATTGCATCTCTGGGTTATTTGTGGGGCACAGGAATTTGTTCATTCCCCCCCCCAAAAAAAAATATAGTCCGGCCCCCAACAAGGTCTGCGGAACAGTGGACCGGCCCCCTGCTGAAAAAGGTTGCTGACCCCTGGTCTACACTGAATGGCAGCAGCTGTCCAGGATTTCAGCCAGGAGGAGTTTTCCCCAGCCGTACCCAGAGATGCCCTGGGGGTTTGAACCCACGACCCTCTGTGTGCAAGGCAGATGCTCTACCATGGAGCTACAGAACTCCCCTCGTTTCCCTCTGTCTGCTCGCAGGAGTCCCCACTCGCCTGCCCAGCGCTCTCTCTCAGGACCCGAAATGTGCAAATGTCTGGGCCCACCCAACTCTCCAAAATGAGGGCCGAGGGGGCATGTCAGGTGTTGGGACAGATGGCAGAGCGTACGGCAGTGGCAGACCCTGGGGTCTCAGATTTCAGCGGTGCCCCGGGTGACATCAAAATTTGGCTCCCCCGCTTCTCTTACTCCATTCTAAGTAATAGTTCTTGCACCCCCAGGACTCCATGCCCAGTGTGACTGAACTCCCTTAAGAGCCACACATTTAAAGCGCACAACTCCCTCCACTCCCGAGTACTGGGAACTGTAGTTTCTCGAAGGCGCTGGGAACTTTAGCTCTTTGCAGCAGAAACTGTGGTTCCTGGCATGCTTTTGAGAAGCCA